AGGAGCACGGAGAATGCCAAACCCTGATCTCCCCTTGAGGGGAAAAAGCCCCTCTGTAGATTAACTACGTTTAGTGGTGGCCAGAATAGGCTGTTACTGAAGAGAACAGGAGTGAGGGAAATGCAATCTGTGCCTGCGGATGCTAGAGAGAGCTTCGGGAAGAGCTGGTAGGAAGAAGGTGGAGGGGCTGTTCCATTTGTGTAGGTTTGCTTGAATGGAATCCACTTCAATCCTGCTTATTTCAGTCAAATTATACAGGGCTGCTTTGTTTTAAATTTCTGGGCATGTCAATGAGGTCTCTTGTCACTGCCTTGCTTGAATAGCCCCAATTCTAAGTCTGCAAAATCAACGAGGAGTCCTGTGGCGCACTACAGATTAACAGATTTATTTGGGCATAAGCTTTCATGGGTAAAACCCACTTTGTCAGTGCCATGAAAGCCTCTGCCAAATAAATCTGTTAGTCTTTAAAGCGCCACAGGACTGCTCACTGTTTTTACAGATACAGACTAACACAGCTACCCGTCTGAGGCTATTCCAAGTCAGCGAGTCCCTCGGTAGGTACTTTTGTGGCCAGCAATGGGAAGGCTGCATGCAAGACATTCCCAGACAGGGTCTCCTACCAGTTTCTAACGTCTGGTTAGACTGCCAGACGGAGAGCTTGACTCTTCCCCTCACTCACACCGGCTTTATACCAGTGTGACTCCACCGAGCTCAGCGGCAAGACTCTTGATTTGTACCAATGCAGGGGAGTTCAGAACCAGGCTTGGAATCTTCCGTGTCTCTCAGAACCCTGGGAGCGCTGTTCTCATGTTAGCCAAAGGGGCCACGACAGGGATGCAGGAACCCCTTTCCCTTTCCCTGAGCCAGAGGTCTAGGTCAGGAATCCAGCTGGGATCTCTCTCTGCCCCACTATTGCAATGGAAGGTGGACAGAATGGAGCTCGCCTGGGTGGAGCTCACTCTGTGTGGGAGGAGATATGCCTGGCTTGGAAGGCATTGCTGGAGATCCCTGTTGGATTCGGAACAATGCCGATTGTTCCCAGTGAAGGAACCGGAAATGCTGCTGGCAGTGATAAAAATCAGTCAGAAATCCAATTCCTCAGGCCTTTGCTTCGGCTGTGAAAGCACAGTTAGCCACCGCACTGGGACAGCTTCCAGTGCAGCAAAGCGGGAAATGGAGAATTTTCTCTAGATCCCTTTCCTAACCCACATGGTGGCAAAGTGCCATTGGCAGTGCAGTCTGGGCTCAGACTAAGTCGGTAGTCTTCAGACTAAGAGCAGTCTGGGCTCAGACTAAGTCGGTAGAGCAACCTGAAGGCCCTTCAGTTTCCTTAACGTCTAAGTAGGAAGGGAGGAAAATAGCTTGTTAAAAGCAGGGAGAGGGATTTGTGTGTGTTGATGAAAATTGGATTTTTGAACAGTGTGAGAAATGTCTTGGGTTTGTTTGAAATGTTTCCAGTTTTTCCACTAAAGAATTTAAAAGGGGGGAAAAATCATTCTGAGTCATTAGATTGATGGACTGGAAAATTCCACACACATGTACAACATTAAAACAAATTAATTTCATTTAATTTATGGAAAATAATTTCAACCAGCTCTATATTGAAACTCCCATTGAACATCACCATTCAGTTTCTAGCCAGCAGGGCTGTGGAAGAGACCTTCAGAATATACACCAATGCAGTCTGGAGTGAAACGATATTGCTATTTATAGGGAGGTGGTGTGGTCTAATGGTTAGAGCACTGAGCATGGACTTGAGAGCTGGTTCTGTTCCCAGCTCTGTGGCTGGCCTGCTGGGTGACTTGGGCAAGTCACTTCACTGCTCTGTGCCTCAGTTTCCCCAACTGTAAAATAGGGACAGGCATGTAAAGTGCTTTGCGATCTACTGATGAAGAGAGCAAGACATTGCTGCTGCTACATGCCAAATACTGCTCCAATCATATCAGCATTGGTGGTCTTAAGTACAGTGAAGTTAACTGCTGTGTGTTCCTCTTTGTGTTTGGGGGGGGCCGAGGCAGGTCATGCATGTCAAGGTGTGGATGGGTGGAGGTGCAGTGAAATGGCCAGTGCATTCACAGAAGCATAGGAATTAGCAGACCATCTACCCTAGTAGCTTGTCTCTGACAGCAGCAATAGATGTTTCAGAGGAAGGCTCAAGAACCCCACAGATTCTCTGCTGCATGTCCAGAGGTCCCACTGTGTCCCAGCCCACCACATGTGTGTACAGAGGCTCCTTTTCCCTTCCCTTCTGCTCATTGATCCTATCTACAAAGCAGACTTATGGTCTTGAGAGTGGCATTAAGAGCTCCTGTTCCTGTCACTGGGGGGGGGGGGTTGATTGTAAACCTGAAGGTGCCAGTTTCAGTTATAAATGATTTCACATCTGGTCCTTTTCAGATCTCTAGCTACTCTGGGATTGTGAGTGGATCTGGGGATTTTTGGTGGAGCATGGGTAGGACTTCACCACCCCCTTTGCTGTACGCTATCCCAAGTCAGACCTCTGAGCACAGCAACTGAAAGAGCTAGCACATGGCCTTGCATAATGGAACCTGTTATTGTGAGAAGATTTGCTTGGACATCAGAGTTAGCCCCCACATTTTTCCAAAAGAGCCAGCGTATCCCTAACTCCCAACTGGACAACACACTGGAGAGAGGCAGAAGCAACTTTGATGAAGTCTCACTAGTGATGGAAAGAAGTGGTGTGTGATGTGATGCTTCATTAGAGGTGGTGGAAGGCGTTCAGTTTAATATCCCAGCCAGTCAGTTGCTAGTGTTTTGTGGCCTTCCTCTCTCTAGTCTAGGTCTGTACCATGAATTGAGGGATGTCTCAATAGGACCATGAGAGAAGGTTTTTCCCAAATCTATGCTTCTTACAAATCCAACTCCAAAAGAGTCAGCGGAAAAGCAGGACAGATGTACATGTGTATAAAAAAGGAAACATGCACCAAAGACAGGGGCAGAGCCGGGCAAGCAAGCAGGGATGGATTGATTACATGTAAACACACAAACTAGGGAGCAAGGAAACTATGCTACAGATGCCTGGAAAGAGAGCAAGAGACAGAGACAGGGTTTGAGCTTTCAGGTCAGTTCCTCTGCCACTGACACGTTTTTCCTTCCTTGCCTGCCACTTAGCTGATATCAGCGCTCCCAAGTGCTCTCTTCCCAAGTAATTAACTAAGCAGTGATTAGCCAGAAGCCTTGAATGCCATGACCTCATCTCAGGCCAGTTCTGGGGGGCAAAGGCTAAGTATCCCAGCTGTTCTTTCCCACCCAACTCCACTTCTTTCTCCAGAGCCTAAGTGCAATGTAACAGGAGGAGTCCATGGGGAGGAGGAGGAATAAAAAAGGTATTTCTATGGGAGATCGCATGAGGCAGCCCCTCAATTCTGCAGGGGCAGGAGGAGAGCTGGAATGGGAGGAGGGTGCTAGGTGACCATAGTTAGACACTCATTCACATACACGCAGCCTGGCCCTGGCGTAAGTAGCCTTGAGACGATTTGTGAAGCCTTGCTCAAAGGGAGGCAGAGAGTGAGCTAGGCAAGGGTTGAGCTGATATTTGAGGGGAAATGTATCCCAGCGGCGGCAGCAGCAGCCACCTCGCTTTGCCCACACTGGCATCACAAGCAGGAGGCATGTGGGATGGTGTCAAGCACGGACTCCCACACTGCCATCTGCCACCACCCAACTGACTATATAGTGGAGGCAGCAAATGTGAGGCTGAGACAATGCACTGCCCTTGCAAACATCATCAGCTGGGGATGGGTTTGAATGGGAGATTTTCTCTGGCTGAGCTGACCCCTTCTGCCTCTCAGCACGGCTCCCAAAGGGCGACGCACTTTAGTTCAGCTCTCCCCTCTCATCCCAGCTTCCACCACCAGTGGGGAACACGAGACCTTCCCCATCTGGCCTGGTGTCTGCAAGGGAGCCTGCGAGATGGTGATAGGGTCTTTTCAAAGAGCTCCACCATCCTGGGGCATCTCCTCAATGTTCCTGACCAGGATTTTGCAATAAGCAAAGCAAAGCCTGCCTCAATTTGAATCCAGGCCAGGTTTTACTCCCAGCCTGGTGAGGGAGGACTTTGGGACAGGGAGCAGGATGGGCATGATCTGTAAATCTCAGCATTGTGATTTAAACTCCCTGTAACTGGAGACACTGCAGAAGTGGCCACTACACCCCATTTTCTTTTATACAAGTTAATACATACCCTAGTGGAGAACTCTACGGGCTGGTTTATCTCCTTTGGTGGGTCCTCCCCCCTTTGCTATGTAGGACCTCTCACACAGCACAGGGAGAGGGCATAGGGAGGGAGCTGAGCTAAGAGGATTACAGCACCGCTATGTGATGGTAAAATGACAGTCGCCTGAAAGTCAGAGATGAGCCGCAGGGAGGGGACCGCTGATCTTTTGTTGCCTAGTCTCAGCCACTATTATGGATTCCTGGCCTGTAGGGTCAGAAGGGAAAATTCCTTTCTGACTCCAAATATGGCAGTCAGTTGGACTCTGACATATGGGTGTGACCCACCAGCCAGCACCTGGGGGAGAATTTTCTGTAGTAATTCAAAGATCTCCTGTCACCGGTCGTGGAAATCCTCACAAAATGTTCAGTCACAGCCCCATGGGCTTCTGAGAAAGTTTGCCCTGGGAGAGAAGTGAATTTCATGGAAGTCCCTTTCTCTCTTCAACCACTAAGTAACAGGGAAGAGTCATGCAGGGTAACCAGTTGACATGCTTAATGTCAGAGGAGATATTTTGTAATGAAATTAATGAAGTCTCTTACATGTGTGGTTCAAATTCAGATGGAGGCTCCTAAAGTGGAGGGTCACATTAAGACTGAGGCCCTTACACACCATCCTGTTTGATTTGGAAATCCAGTGCTTTGTCCACAAGTATCCCTGACATGTTGGTGCTGGGTAATTTGTGTTCATCATGTTTATCCCTGATTTTTGTCTTTCTTCCTTTCCCACTCCTCTCCCCGTTCTCCACCTCTCTTCTCGAGTGCAGCAGGAGCTCCCCACACGCGTCAACACCTCCACCTCCTCCCCTGTCCTGGCTCGAGATGTGCTCCATACCAAGATGGAGGAGCTAGAGGAGCAGCTCCTCTCCAAGTTACTTTCTCTGGAGAAAGAACGCTCCTCCATTACCAGCCACAGTGGCCAGCAGCAACAGGACGTAGAGAAGGAGCTGAGCGTTCTCCAGAGCCGGGTCGCCGAGTTGGAACAGGGTCAGTATTGGCACAGGAGAGTCTGATTAAACCAGGTACCACTCCTGGCTGATTCAAAAGCTCCTACCCCTCATCTGCCATCGATGCTCATGAAGATGCCTCATTGTTCTTAATCAGGAGATGGGGTAGAATAGATGCTTTGGGCTAGTGATGAAATTCTGTGTCACTCTAACAATCATTTATCAGTGGGTCTGCCGCTGTACAAATAAGTGGAAACACGGCCTATGGCCTAAGAAGATTACAATTTAACTTGGACTCGGACCAGGTTCCAGTAGGTCACAGAGTGTGAAGGGCCAGCTCTTGAGCTGTGAGGGTTTTCTTTCAAATCTCTCCCATGCACTGTGTTCGCAGAGCTATTGCTGTTGCCCCTTTCTGATTATACCAAGCCCTTTCAGTGAGGCCTTGTCTACAGTGTTCCCTTTAATATTTTCCACCCAGATGTGGAATAAATTTTGCTTTGTATACTGAGACCTATGTGGATGTGTACCACCAGGAGAAATACACACTATCAGCTTTGGGCGCTCTGCTAATCAGCTGGATGCATTTGAATCTCTCCTGGGTGGCTGCCCAAGTACACAGCTTATAAGGAACACTGCTTCTCTATGCTGCTGATGTTGTATTTAAAGCACTGCATGGGATTTTTTGCAAGGGGTTAAGGCAAAATGCTACATTTATTGGTAATACATAACTGCACTCGCTGGGTGAGTTAGATGGGGGAGGGGTGATGTGCCAATATTGATAAGACTAAACCCAGGATCCTCTTGCAAGATACCTTAGATTTATAGTAGCTTCCCTCTCATGCAAATCTATACCAATTAGTCATCATATGCATATGCAAAATCTGTGCCATCATATGCATATGCAGTTAGTCATCTGTGGCGCCGCCTTCTGGATCTTGTCTTAATGCTGCCATACTCCTCTTCAAAGAAGGTGCTTTCAAAGGGAGGTGCTTGCATCTGAAGCTACATCTAGACTTCAGGCTTCTTTTGGAAGAAGCTTTTCTGGAAGAAATTTTCCAGAAAAGCTTATTTCATAAGACAGCATCCACACTGCAAAAGCGCAATGAAAAAGCAATGTGCTTTTTCGAAAGATAGCATCCGCATTGATTGGATATGTTCTGGAAAAACAATACTTGCATCCACATTGCCATTGGGTTCTTTCAACAGAAAGTGAAAAGAATGGAGGGGGGTTTCCGACGGGGGTAAACCTCATTATATAAGGAAGAAGCTTTTTTCTGAAAAAGCTTTTTCAGAAAAAAAGCTTCTTCCTTATATAATGAGGTTTACCCCCGTCGGAAACCCCCCTCCATTCTTTTCACTTTCTGTTGAAAGAACCCAATGGCAATGTGGATGCAAGTATTGTTTTTCCAGAAAAATTGCTGTTTTTCTGGGAAAATGCTGCAGTGTAGACGCACCCTCACTCCCAAGGCCATTAATATGTCTGATCTTCTTCAATGAGTCCACTTAACAGGTCTTATTGTCCTCAGATCTGGCTTCTATCCCCTCTCCAACTGTTGTAACTACTCTGAGGTGCTTGCCTTCCATGCCTTATCCTTTCACACCTCATTCATTCAACAGGGCACTCAATTAGGTGAAAGGGAAGAGATCTATTCTGGTACAAAGACATGACCTCTAGTATTATACCAAAACTTAATACAAAGTTTCTATATAAAAAGACTTAATACAAAAGTTTTGTATTACTTAATACAAAGTTTTATATGGAAAGGCTTAATACAAAGTCTTATGAAAATGATCGTTATATGAAGCGGTTTAATACAGAGATTCATCTAGGTTGTCAATGATAGTTAACACTTGCAGCTGAGCTGGTGCCGTACATGGAGGCAGGATGGTGCTGAGCTGCAGGTGCTGTCAGTGGCAGTTGGTTCTAGTCTGTGGGGTTGACTCTAGGGTTGGATTGGTGTAACTATGTGTTTCCACATGGGACAGGCCCTCTTCAATGCCCATTGTCACTCACCTGTAACCCTGCTTCTTTCCTCCTTCTCCTTTGTCCACCCAAGAGCATACGGCAGCACCAGACTTCAGCCCTCCAGATGCCTACAAGGTGACCATCCCCGTACGGACCAACTACATGTACGCACGCATGAAGAAGAGCCTGCCAGAGCTTTTTGCCTTTACAGTTTGCATGTGGCTGAAGTCCAAGGCCTCCTCAGGGCTGGGCACTCCTTTCTCCTATTCTGCCCCGGGGCAAGCCAACGAGATTGTGCTGATGGAGTGGGGGCACAACCCCATGGAGCTGCTCATCAATGACAAGGTCAGGAGGGGCTAGAGCCTCTGTGCTGGGAGCATAGGTGGCAGTAACCCTGTCTGCCCCCTTTCCTGTGCAGGGGGTAGGAGACTCCTGTCCCACTCCCATTAATGGAGACTACCTCCATGCTTCCCCTTGTCCTGGAGAGGAGAGAGTTGTATCTACCAGATCCAGGCTACATAGCTCTGTCTGCTCCCTCTTAACCCCCCCTCCCGTCTTAACCCCCCCTCCCCTGCCCCCATCCCCACCCGGCTTCATGAAACAAGGGAAGTGAAGGGGATTTTCATGAGCTGGGTCCTGGGCATCACCCAGACCCTGTTTCTGTATCAGTCTAATTATCCACTGCCCCTGCTCTGTCCCTCTCTCTGCTCCTTTCCCCTGCCCCTTTCCTACGTCTCCCTTCCTCTCTTTATTTGCCTCCTTTCTTTATAGTCCCCTCTTTTCACCCTCTTCTGCCTGCGGGGATCCTCATCTTTCCAGGCAAAGTCCTGAGGATCTATCCCCGGTTCCCTCCCTCTCCTAACTCCCATCAGCAGTATCCCTGGACGTCAGGCTGTTGCATGTTCCTGCTCCTGCCAGTGAGGCTGGGAGAGACTATCCCACCACATGCCACGGATGCTTTAAGGCAGCTCCAGGACATGCCTGGCTTATTGCTGTTCGCTGTTGTATTTTAAAGGTTGCCCAGCTGCCCCTGAATTTGAAGGATGGGACATGGCACCACATCTGCATCGCCTGGACCACCCGGGATGGCGTGTGGTGGGCGTATGAGGACGGTGAGCAGCGTGGCTCTAGTGAGAACCTGGCTGCTTGGCATCCCATCAAACCCCACGGGGTGATAATCCTGGGCCAGGAGCAGGTGGGTTGTGGTTGCTGTATCTTCCTGAGAACAGTTAACCGGGTGTTGTGGGGAACGTGCACAGCCTCACAAGCAGAAAACTCGTGTCCCCTCTAGCACCTTCCCCAGGCTGCAGCTGTTACCCTGTTGGAGCTGGTCAGGACAGCCCCTCCGCTGACCCCACAGTTGACTGATGTGGTGTCTACCCTTCACAGCCTCTCCTCAGTGGTGGTGGGGGCTGGACATATTGCCTGCCTCAGCCCTGGACAGCAAGAGCCTGGGCTCTATTTGGAATTCCCTCTCTGATTGCTCCCAGGTCAGAGCTCAGTTATAGCCCTTGATAGCGCTAGAGCCCTTGGGAGTTTGGGCAAGAGTTTGCTTGGCAATGCCATATCCAGCTTTCAGTGACAGCCCCCCCTGTAGATTTCACCACACAGCCT